CCTGGTGAAGAGAAGAATTAGAAAAGAAGGAAACGCGACGTTGGAGTGAGAATGAGTAAGAGGCCACCGCCGGACCCTGTGGCCGTGCTCCGAGGTCATCGGGCCTCTGTTACCGACGTTTCTTTTCATCCGTCTGAACCTCTTCTCTTTTCGGGGTATCCATTAGCTCCGATCACTCGTTGTTTCATTTTTTAGCCTTTTGCTTCTGTTATTTATTTGAAATATTCTGCCGGGTAGTGAAGTGTTGTAATTGTGATTCATATTAGCTCTGCAGATGGTGAGTTGCGTATATGGGATACGGCTCAGCATAGAACAGTATCATCAGCATGGTATTGACTATTGCTTCGTTGCTTTTAGTTTTTGCTCCTTCTGTGTGTTGTATCTGATTTGTGATTGGGATAACTGATATCAGGGTGCATAGTGCGGCACACGGAATTATTAGTATTGCTTGTAGTCGTTCAATTGGGACAAATAGAGTTGTCAGGTGCTCTTCTTTCATATCTTCTTCTTATCCAGTACGGAATTTTAATTCATTGCTTGAAGGGTTTGGGAGTTGTGTATGCTTATAGTTTAACTCCTCTGTGTATAGCCAGGGTAGGGATGGAACTGTGAAGTGCTGGGATATTGATGATAGGGCTCTGTCCAGGTATTTGCTGGTTTACGATGCTTTATTCACTAGAATTTTTTTTTTTTTTTTTTTCCGGCCACGCATGTCCCTAACTTTAGACCATTTTAAGAACACTGTTGCAGTCTGCAGAATCTATGTTTTTACGAATAAAATTCTATTGAACCTTACATGAAATTATCGACTGAACTGGTTGTTCAGCTTGAACATTCGGATTTTACGTGAGGCCCGTCTTTCAAAATTTCTAATCTAACTCGGACAATTTTTGGTGTCTTTCTTTGTTTTTGGTAATTCACATACGTTGTTGGTAATTTTTATGCACAACAGAGTTCCCTCTGTCACAATCAACACAAATGCCTATCACTTTTGCAAACTCTCCTTGGTGAAGCAGCCTTCTGATTTTTCAAGGCATGATGGTGGTCCTAAGTATAGTAATGATATAGACCAGAACCCCGTCGAGGTCGAAACTTTGAGCTGCAGTGGAGAAAAGACTCAAGAAAATTCTACTGAGCAGGCATGCATATCAGAAGGTTCTTTCAAGTCGATGGTTCATGTAATTTTTTTTTTTTTTTCTAATGCATGTTTGATTATAAATGCCTAATGTCTTCGCATTACCCATTGTTGAATAATGGTACATCTTCTAACATTGTTGTGATGACGCTAATTAAAATGGTGTTTTTCCTGACTTCTGCTGATAAACCAGCGGACGGACTTAAGTATGTGGCTGTTGCCGGGGAGCAATCTTCAGAGGTTTGTATGAAGATTATTCTTGTCTATATTTACCCACATACCATTGAGTACCGAGGCCTCGATTTCTTATTCTCTACGGTGTGTGATGAAAGGTTGAAATTTGGGATCTGAATTCTGGGGAAAGGTTGCTACGACTTCCTCCAAACTGTGAAGGGGATTGCCCAAACATCTCTACCAAGGAGAGAGGTTGGTTTCATTGGTTTGCTTAAACCATTAAGTATTTCTTACAATAATGTTTTTAATATCATTAAAGAATAGCTTTAACAAATTGACAATTGAAATAACTGTAGTATTATTATTAGTTATTAATTTTTACTTGTATAGTTACCATTCATTACTTAATCAAATGAATTGATGAATTGACTTATCCTATTTGTGACCAAACGAGTACTTGTCTCTAATATCTTTTCTGATTCTATTCCATTTGTACAATCAAACATGGCCTTTAGTTACATGATCAATTTTGGTTTTTCTTTTCTAATTTTCATGCCGACTATGAAATCTTAAAAAATTGTCTCTGGCAGGATTGTGCATGGCAGTCCAAGCCTTTTTACCGTCTAAATCTCAGGGATTCTTAAATGTCTTGTCTGGGTACTTCTTTATCTTCATTCTTCTTTCTCTTCACTTGTACAAAATGATGTAAGCTAAATTATAATAAATATCTATTGCCCTATGTTTCAAGAATGTCGTATTCTTTCAAAAGTAATAATATTATCTTTGACCTTTCATAAACGTCTCAAAAATACCCTTGGAGTAAAAAAATCGTTGTAATGTTGGAGAAAAAGCTGACATGTTTGACTACTGTTCTTTCTTACTTAATTCATGCAAGCGTCCTAGTCACCTCTATATCATTCCTAGTCACCAAAATCGATATTTTGTCCCATAATCTAACACATCTTCACTTCAAGAATAGTTTTGAAACATATATGAAAGGTTAAGGGTACTATTGCCGCTTTTGAAAGAGTATGGGTATTTTTTAACCAAATGACAAAGTTCAAGAGTGTGCTTTATAATTTAGCCAATTATGTATAAGTTAAAAATACTCAAATAGAGCAAAGATGCTCATGTGTATCTTTCTCTTTGTCTCGCCATATTGCCCATAACTTCTTGAGTTGATCATTGCCTAACATCACATCATCTACCGTCCAAAAATTGTGACCACAGTTATACTCTCCTAGTTTATCACAATCTTATTTAATGAACATGTATTCTGATCATGCCATCTTTGGTTCTTGCATTACAGTTCATAGGCTTAATCATTTTCACTGTCTAATCCTCTATAATGCAAGTTTAAGTTTCTTTTCATTATTTAGATACGAGGATGGTTCCATGCTTTGGTGGGATCTAAGGAATCCGGGTGTTCCAGTAACATCAGTGAAGTGTCATTCAGAGCCAGGTGCTTGTCTGAATATTCTGGACTTACTATGTATTCTTTCCTCAGTGAAAAGCCACGATTTTGATTATCTTGTTTGCAGTTCTAAGCATTTGCGTTGATGGATCTTGCAATGGTGGTATCTCAGGAGCTGCAGACGACAAAATTGTGACTTTTAGTTTGGATCATTCCATGGTATTTAAAGTGTACAAAAATTTACTTTAAAAAATGACGCTACTTAAATATGATATATTAGTTCTGTAATAATGAAATATTCGGCTAGTAAAAAGTTACATAACTTAAACCTTCCTTATGTAGTAAATAGGCTAATAGCTTATGTTGACTTGTTCTAATATTAGATTTTTTCAACAATATGAGGGGTGGGTGAATGACTATCCTAATATTCAGCTCAATAATTGTTTGGTGGAGGGGATGTTCATCATGACTCTTCAAATGCCTTTCATGAATCAATGAGAATATTTTGAATCTTGCATTCTTCCCAAGGAGAAGTTTTAATATGATAGTAAAAGGTGTTTGTGCGTGTTTCTCTATGCTATGGAGTTTTCATATGAAAATAATAGAAGTTTTCTGATGGTCCCTTTAGTTGTTGAAATGTCTGTAGATTGAGATGCCTTTATTTCATGGTTTACTCTCTATAAAAATTACGTTTATTTCATGGTCCATTACTAGTATAGATGCAAGTGTTTGGGCAACTGCCATTTTGCGCTTTTATATGTGAAATTTATTTTGGTTCTCTTGAGTTATAAAGGGGACATGTCTGGTGAAGAAAGAAATTACTTTGGAACGGCCTGGCATAGCAAAGGTCTCTATTCGACCAGATGACAAGATTGCTGCAACTGCTGGTTGGGATCACAGGTTAGCAATGCTATGCTTGGAAATTGTGTGGTGTGCTGTATTTTATATATATTTTCTGTGCCTGTAAATATTCCCAAAACGAAGATATTCAATCTCAAAGGAAGATGGTGAATGAAGTAGTGCTGAGCCAATGGAGAGACGTGTATCCCTGTCTTCTATTGTTTAGCTGTCCCAGTCAAACTAGTCTTTCAAAAGATCTTCTATGAGATTACTGTTGAACTCTTAAATACCACTGCTTTCTGTTCAAGTGAAAATGAACCTTTCAGCATGAAATCTTTAATGTTTCACGTGACTGATGTTTGATTGTTTATGCTGCATGATACTGTGAAATATGTGAAACATGATCCGAAAGATGATCTCTTGCTTAATTTGTTTTCTTTCTCCCTGTGGCAGAGTACGGATATATAATTATCGGAAAGGAAGCCCTCTTGCTATATTGAAGTATCATCAGGCCTTGGTATGACTTTCTTTATAGGCAAGAGTACCAAACGTTTTACATTTATCATTTTTGTTGGATGATAAAACACGGGGGCCATGGCTGTTTTTTTCTTCTTTTTTCTCTTCATACTATGTGTTCACCGACTTCGTTTCTAGTTTTCCGTGGATCCAGATTCTTGATGATCCTTGGAACGGAACAAATTATCAAACAACTTTTTATTTTCTCAACAGTTTTGAAACTAGCTTTCCTTTGTCATTGGGTCATTTTATTTTTTCCATGGTTCGTTTAGAGCCTGGAAAATATAGCAAAAGGATTTCACATCTACCCATGATGAATTTGAAGTGCCTATGGCTACAAACTCGTTATTAGTCCATCTTATATTGCAGAATCTTCTTCCTGTTTCTCATTGTTCAGTAGTTTTTTTTTTTTTGGCTTTTAAGCGTATTGCTTTCCATTCTTGCAGTGTAATGCTGTATCATACTCGGACAACTGTAAATTAATGGCATCTGCGTCAGAAGACAGAACAGTGGCACTCTGGGAACTCTATCCTCCTCGAGCTTGAATTCAAATGGCTGCCGTTGTTTCTCGCTTGGGAGGAGGGTATAGGCATCTGACTTACCATGCCCTGATGTACCTTTAATTATTACTATCATTTTCTTTTTTTTTAATCTTTTTGTAATTTATTTCACTGTGGTACATTTACTGATAAAAGGTAAAAAGCACCCTCCCAACTTTTCGCATCTGTAGCATCTCTTCTTCACTTCACGGAATGAGACTTTGTTGGGGCTCTCAGTGTTCTATAGTTGGTACTTTGATCATAGGAGACTGTGATATTATAGGTTACGTTAATTTTTGTTCATGTTTCTTCTTGAACTCTTCAAGAAGCTAATCTTGATTGAGCGTTAGGTTCTGCATGATAGATGCCGGTTAATTTTGGCTTGCCCAATTGAATCTTCTTGGTTCTTTCTTGTTCTTTAGTTTCATCGCCGCCCCAAGATCGTTCTTTTAAAAGATATGAATAAGCAGTCGGTGGTTCTGTTCTTCTGCCATGTGTTGCTCCTCGCCGGAATGTCTTTTTCCCATTCCACCTGCACCGGCTACTGGACACTTTTGCAGGACGCCATCGGCATTTCAGCCATGCACATGCAGCTACTCCACAACGACCGTGTCGTCATGTTCGATGGCACCGACCTTGGCCCATCGAACGTGTCGTTCCCCAAAGCAAAGTGCTCAAGAATCTACAATGGACGTCGAATCGGGTTCGATTGTACTACTCATTCTGTCGAGTACGATGTCGCCACCAACTCATTCAGGCCACTCGCTATTCAGTCAAGTATGTGGTGCTCGTCGGGTGGAGCTGTGCACTATGGCGCTCTGGTTCAAACTGGTGGTTTCAAAGCTGGCGACCGGACCGTCAGGATCTTAAAACCGTGCCGAGGATGTGACTGGGAAGAGATTCCGATGGGGTTGCTCACCCGCCGGTGGTATGCCACCAACCACATTCTCCCCGATGGCAGCCAGATCATAGTCGGCGGCCGGAACAGCTTCAGCTATGAAATCTTTCCTAAACCTGCATCGTTTTATTGGCATTTGGCGGAGACTAAATCTGCAGCCAAGGCATATAGTTTGCCGTTCTTGGTGCAAACCAACGATGGCGAAATCGAGAACAATTTGTACCCATTCGTGTTTCTTCATATCGATGGGAGTTTATTCATATTCGCTAATAATCGAGCCATCTTATTTGACTACTCCAAGAACAGGGTTCTTAAAGCCTTCCCGGAAATTCGTGGCGGCAATCCGAGGAATTACCCGAGTACTGGATCGGCTGTGATGCTTCCGTTGGATTTGCAGGCGAAATCCATTCAAGTGGAGGTCATGATCTGCGGTGGAGCTCCAAAAGGAGCTCATATTAAAGCTCGCAATGGGGTTTTCGTCAAAGCACTCAAAACTTGTGCAAGAATCAAAATTACCAGTCCAAACCCCAAATGGCTTATCGAGATTATGCCACTTCCCAGGGTTATGGGCGACATGTTGTTGCTTCCAAACGGCAACGTTTTGCTGATCAACGGCGGGTCCTTCGGCACCGCCGGCTGGGAACTTGGCCGGAAACCGGTACTGAACCCGGTTCTGTACCGACCCAACAAACCACCCGGTGCAAGATTCGAAATGAACGCCCCGAGTAAAATCCCCCGTATGTACCACTCGACAGCGATCTTGCTTCGTGATGGCCGTATTCTCGTCGGTGGGAGCAACCCGCATCCGGTTTATAATTTTTCCGGCGCACTTTTTCCGACGGAACTGAGCATAGAAGCATTTCATCCTTCATATCTTGACCCTCAATTCTTGGCCTTACGTCCCACAATACTAACACCATGGTCTCAAATGATGCTTCTCCACGGACAAAGTTTCAAGGTGGAGTTTACGGTGATCGACGAATTAGACCCGACGGAAGTGTCGGTAACCATGTTGGCTCCGCCGTTCAATACCCATTCGTTCTCAATGAACCAGAGGCTGTTGGTGCTCGGCGTGGGCAATGTGACGACGAACATATGGCCGGATCTGAAGTATGAAGTGGAGGTTAGCGCTCCTGTTGGCAGTAATATCGCACCGCCTGGGTTTTATCTATTATTTGTTGTTCATCAGTGCATTCCCAGTGAGGGCATTTGGATTCAAATACTTGGATAATTGATTTCGGTGTTCCAATTCTTTTTCGAGGTGGATTACTGTTTTTGTTCATATTGGTTATATTCATTGTAATTTGCCTTCATATTTTGAATCATAGTGTATACGAATAATTAAGGTTTTAACAATTTAAAACCACCTATGAATAAGATGAAGCATAGAAATCCATGTATAATGCCAACATGCTTTCGTATAAATTTTGAATTTGTTACTTAAAATATTGTAATCTACGGACCCATAAAATGTATGTCAATTGCGTTGGCCACGATGGTAACAACCCACCAACCAAAACTGACTCTTTAATTCCAACTTCCGCGTTTCTTTTTTCATATTATATATCATATCATTAAATAATTTTTATGTTATCAATATATCAATTTCTATTCATTCTCCTCCTCATTTTCATCTATTGGTTTCCAAATTTTTAGTATTAATAGTCTCTAACCAAACAAAATGGACGAGTTGTAAGATCCCACGTTAGTTGGAGTAGAGAAGGAAATATTTTTTCTAAGGGTGTGAAAACCTTTTCCGAGCAGTTGCATTTTAAAAATGCTCAAGGGAAGCCCAGAACGAAAACCCTAAAAAGGACAATATTTGCTAGCGATGAGCTTGGTATCAGAGACAGACACCGGGTGTGCCAGCGAAGACGCTGAGCCCCAAACGAGGTGGACACTGGGCAGTGTGCTAGCTAGGATGTTGAGCCCCAAAGGGAGGTGAACACTGGGTGGTGAGCGAAGACGCTGGCCCTGAAGGGAGGTGCATGGTAAGATCTCTACATCAATTGGAGAGGGGAACAAAACATTATTTATAAGCGTACAGAGAAACATTATAAAAATGTGGAAACCACCTCCTAATTTATGGGTTTTAAAAACCTTGAGTTTCCCAAACTCAAAAGGCAAATCCCTGCTAGTAGTGAGCGTGGGCTGTTACACGAGCACACACAAGCCTATAATACGTGTAACTATATAATATTATTGCTTTCTCTTTTATTTATGATATTATTTTTTTCTATTAAATAAAAAATAAAACATAGATATAAAGAGAATAATCAAAGGTTGGCTTGTTCAAGTTTCGAACCATAAACAAGTTTATCGACTTCATTGCAACCATCATTATCGCTATATCTCATCCATGTTTGAATCGCTATATCTCATCCATGTTTGAATGGATAGGACGAATATATGGTAATTTAAAAATAATAAAAGGAATACTTATTTGTTTGATCTCTCTAAAAATTATTAAATATATATTTTTCTATTTTCTAATAATTAATGGTCTATATTTCATTATAATCTTTAGGGCTCAATATTATTATTAGGGGAGAAAATTACGATCATAAGATTTTATATATGTATTTAATTTATTGAGTGAAAAGACATGAAATAAATTATATTTATGTTTGGAATGTTGGGAGATGTATTTCTTAGTATGACTTAATTAAAAATTAAATATAAAAAAATAGACTTATCTATCGCACTTATGGATATTACAATACTACCCTTATCATGTCTAAATCAGAAAATTCTAAGAAATAATCAATAGCTGGAAGCGTTGAAAAATAAATAAATTAATGAGAAATCAATAATTGGTTTGAAAAACAAAAAAATAAAAAAATAAATAAACCATTGCTAAAAGCTTTGCCGTATCACATAAGATCAATATTAAATAATATTTGATGAATAAGTCTCCGGCACGTCACACAACGGTTCCTTTTTAAATTTTATATTCATTATATTAATATTCTGTATGAAGCGTTGGGTGAGAAGCTTTGTCCTCCAACACACACAATCTTCACTATATTATATTTTAAGTTTTTAATTATATGTAATTTAAAAATAACAAAAATGGTCTTGCAAAATATTAATTTTTTTTCCATCCACGGTAGAAAGTATCCTCCGCTGCTAAGTTTCACGGTTTATCTAAGGTGTGTTGTCTATGGCTACGTGTCGAATGTCTCGATCAAGACGTGTTGTCCATGGTTGTTTATATGCTTTTAGTCTATAATATTGTTTTCAACGCATTTTATCACCTACACTTTTAAAAACATTTTATCTCAAACGTGACCTGAAGCTTAATCATACATCTGAATTGCTATCTGCAGCAAGGATAATATGGTAGTGACACTAAACATACACGATTCACCGTCAAAATAATTTCTCGTACGTACAATTTTAATGTCACTCACCTTACTAATCCAACATTGTTTAGCTTGCCCAAAAACAAGACGTGTTATCATTAATATTCAACTTCGACATCCCTGTTCTTATATTAATGCTTTACACTATTTTTTATATTTTATATTGCTAGTTAAAAGATTCTTACAATATACCTTTTGTTATTTAGAATAATAAATAATAGATACAAATTGATAATTAAAAAAAGAAAAAGGACAGAATATTACAGTCTAACATGAACATAACCTTTTATTTTTTATTAAAAGATTAAATATTTAAACCCTTACAAACTAAAAAAAACATAATTAAATAATTAAACCACTCTTAAATGGGATTGATTCTATCCGCTAACCAAAATTTTTATAATTGATTTTAATTTGGACACTTTGGTATAAAATTAAATTAGTTAAGGATTAAATAACATATTAACACAAAAAATAATGCCGGGTCAACCTTCCCAATGGACAACATAATCGAATTATTTTAAAAAGAATTTAACGACAAGTAGCATTTATGAAGCAGACTAACTGAACAAGACAAGGGCATATGAGACAACAATAATTTATTTAATGTTCTATTATATTTATTTACCCTTGTTTTCGAAGCTTAAAAAAATTAAATATATTACACACCCTAATTTTTTTGAAAATATTATTTAAATAATATAAAATAAAAGCACCCCTTCGATAATAACAATAATAAAACCACCCATGACTACTTATTAATTGAGAATTCATTCATCTGAATTAATGGACAAAAAATTCCTCCTTTTTTTGTTTTGTTTAAATAATATCCATATTATTTGAAAAGTTGCAAATTAATCTTAAAATGTTGGATAATTTTTTTAAAAAAATAGTTATTATTATTATTATTTGGAAATTCAAAGGGTTTCGTCAATCCCACGCATTTTGTTATTCGTGCGAGCCCAAAACATGTATATTTATACCAAGCCATGCAGACCCTTCAAAAGCAGATCCAAAGCACTTCCAAAGCTGCCATTATGTATAATCCTTCCATAATTTTGTCGCTCTTCTTTGCCCTCATACTCTGCTCCGGCCTGCCTCTCACGGAGGCGGCCGGCGGGAGGTGGCGGCTGCTGCAGAAAAGCGTCGGCATTGCCGCCATGCACATGCAGCTACTTCGAAACGACCGCGTTGTGATGTTCGATCGCACCGATTTTGGTCCTTCCAATCTTTCTTTGCCAGGAGGAAAATGCCTTAGAGACCCTAAAGCCGTCATAAAAGTCGACTGTACGGCCCACTCAATCGAGTATAATGTCATCGCCAACACTTTCCGACCACTCATGGTCCAATCCGACGTTTGGTGTTCCTCCGGCTCTGTTTTCACCGACGGCACTCTCGTTCAAACTGGCGGCTTTAATTCCGGCGAACGGAGGGTCAGAACGTTCGAGCCCTGTTCCACCTGCGACTGGAAGGAGATTCAGTTGGGATTATTAGCCAGGCGGTGGTATGCTACTAACCATATTCTCCCCGACGGCAGACAGATCATCATCGGCGGCCGGAGACAGTTCAATTACGAATTCTACCCGAAAAGCACCGCAACTCAAAAATTGTTCGATTTGCCCTTCTTGGCTGAGACCAACGACAATAATATCGAAAACAATCTATACCCATTTGTTTTTCTTCAACCCGATGGGAATTTATTCATATTTGCCAACAATCGTGCGATTTTATTCGATTACACCAAAAACAGAGTCGTCAAGACATTTCCGGCAATTCCCGACGGCGAGCCAAGGTGTTACCCGAGTACTGGCTCCGCCGTGATGCTGCCGTTGAAATTGGATGCTAAATCCATCGAAGTTGAGGTATTGGTGTGCGGCGGAGCTCCGAAAGGGTCTTATACTAAGGCCAATCGAGGGGTTTTCGTTGAGGCATTGAAAACTTGTGCCAGAATCAAAATTACAGACCGGAATCCCAAGTGGGTCGTGGAAACAATGCCGCAACCCAGAGTGATGGTTGATATGTTATTGCTTCCAAACGGCAACGTTTTGCTCATTAACGGAGGCTCCGCCGGTACCGCCGGGTGGGAACTCGGCCGTAAACCGGTTTTGAACCCGGTTCTGTACCACACAAACAACCCTCTCGGTCGGAGATTCGAATTGCAAAATCCGACAAAGATTCCCCGAATGTACCACTCGACAGCGATTCTACTCCGCGACGGTCGTGTTCTGGTTGGCGGCAGCAATCCGAATTCGTTATACAATTTCACCGGCGTGCTGTTTCCAACTGAATTAAGCTTAGAAGCATTTTCCCCTTCGTATTTAGATCCTGAATTTTCATCTCTCCGACCAGCAATCCAATTCCCAATTTCCCCGGCGAAGGTCCGCCATGGACAAGCATTGAAGGTGGGCTTCACAGTCCCCGGAAAAGTCGCCCCGACAAAGGTGTCGGTGACGATTCTGTCGCCGGCGTTCAACACTCATTCATTCTCCATGAATCAGAGGGTGTTGAATCTGGGGAGCAGGGCGTTTAGACTTAGAGGGAGTTCGAAATATGAAGTTGAAGTTACAATTCCGGGATCACTTAACGTTGCACCGTCGGGGTATTATATATTATACGTCGTTCATCAGGAAATTCCGAGCGAGGGAATTTGGGTGCAAATTGCTTGACATCAAATCCGCGTGCTTCAGTGCTTTGGCTCAAATATATTTTCATTTGTGCTTTGATTTTTAATTGTCAATACTTAATATACACAAGGAGAAATTGAATTGTTTCTCAAGTAAATAAACGTCGTTTGTTTCACAGATCATCGTAGGAAGGGGCGTGGATTTGTAAATTTGGTCGGAAGTAAATATTTTGAATAATAATAGCTTAAATTATGATTGGTGTTCACCTTACTGTATGGGGTTGTCTTAGGGATCAATATTAAAGGTAAAAATGATATGAATGGGACCTTATGATATGGTTGATGTGGGTATGGTTTAATAAATGAATGACATTAAAACTTTGGGCTAAAATAGGTGTTTTTGTTGTCGTGGTTTTCTAGATGGAATAAAAAATAATTTTATTACTTAGAATTAACATTTAAAGTTCCCTATTTGTAATATTTTGAGACGAAATGGTGTGAAATTTGTGAAGATTTGAACTTTTAAATTTTTATCGAAAAAATGTTCCAACCACTCAATAATTTGAATGGAAAGGGATAGTCGAGTAACATGAATGGGCGGGTTTAATTAATAGTAACATACGCATATAACTATTTTTAAGGAATCGGGTTTGTTGGAAACTTCCACTTTGCAATAGAAATTAATGTTAGGGTGTACCATAATGATTATAGTCTGTAGTTCATGATTAGACAAACTTAAAATAACTTAAATTACAAATGCCAAGTCATACTAACATAAAGCTTAATATATTCCGCCGACCTTATTATATAAAAGAATATAACCCCAAATGCATACACATCAAATTAAAATCCATATGAAAAATAAGCATCATTATTATTTTTGGTTTTGGGATAATCAGAATTTAATTAATTACATTAAAATAATGGGACCGAATTCAGAGAATAGAAGCCAAGACAGAATGTTTGTCGGGGAGAATCAGTAGTGGCGGTGGGGTTGTTGTTTTCGGGTCAGACTGTGGATACCCGAACTGAGCCTGACTGAATGAGGCCCATGAGAGAAGTAGGCCAAGCCCATTTAGGCCTTTTTATTTCGTTGGATCGGGCCCACGGTGTACCGTTTATCCACGACAAGATTGATAATCGCGAGGAACAGTTAATCGGGTCACGGGATGGAGACAACGTCGTCCGACCGTTCCAATTTCCAAATCGAAGAATATTCAAACTCTCTCCTTCGCCTTTTCTTCCACGGTTCGGTTACTCACGGGGTTTTTGCAGTTGCAGTCTTTTTTTTAGTTCTAGAAGAGACAAAAAAAAAATGATGTTTTTTAAATTTATTTGAAAAAATAAATGGTAGCTACCAGCTTTAAATTCAGTAGGAGGAGAAGGAACGGTCGAGATTTAGGAAGAAGACGAGACGACCAGATTCGTTTAAATTTTTAAAAGAGATGAAATCTCAGGAACACAAAGAACTAATTTTTTTATTATTATTTTTTTTTTTTAAAAAAAATAAAAGATAAAAATGTTTATGAATTGAAAAATCATAATTCTCGGAATACCCAAAAACCAAATCCTTCCCCTACCCACCACTTTTGGTTTTTGGTTTCTTTATTATTATTATCATTATTATTAAAAACATTTATATATTTGCGGAGCTTCCCATTTGGATTAGGGTTTCTTCTTGCTTCACCTTCTTCGTCCTGGAGTGAAAAAAGCTGATACCTTCCCGATCTCTTCTACTAGCCGTTACACTTCTCATTTCCCGCCAATTTTACCTGTTCTTTACCCATTTCCTTACTTTTATTTTTCACCCCCTTTCCCTTTTCTCTTCCTCCTCTCGTTTTCTTGTTGCCGGCGTCTTTTCAACTTCTTTTCACCCTTGCTCTCTCTGGGCTTCCGGGTAAAATGTCTTCGCTCGACGCCGGTTCCAAGGTCGAGGAGGTTAAGGACAAGGAAGACAAGGCAGGGGAGCTTTTGTTCTGTGGTGCTACCTGCTGGGATATCATTGGTCGGAAAAAAGGCTCTGTGGAAGGCAACTTGAGTTCTCCCACTCGCCTCCGCCCTCTTGTTGGAGTTGACATTCGTTTTGTCGCTTCTGGTTGCAGTAAGTTTTTGATTTTCTGTTCAGCGCTACAGATTTTGTTGTTTTTGTGTTGTTTTTTTAGTTCTATGCTAGACAGAGAGGTTGGTTGATGTATTTTATGGAGTATTCAACTCTGATCCTGCATTGCAGTGATGTGGTTTTTGACGTTTTGAATGTTAATGTTGGCGTAGCATCGTGTCATTGTGTGGCATTGGACGTGGAGGGGCGTTGCTATACCTGGGGACGCAATGAGGCATGTTTACACTCAAATCTCAACCTTAAAAGCCTTTTTTTTTTCAATGTATATATAGATTATTATTTATTTATGCTTGACGTGTGAAGTAATTTGCGTTCAGAAAGGTCAATTGGGTCACGGAGATTTGATTCAGCGAGACAGACCTACAATAGTATCTGACCTTTCGAAGTATGTTACTATGTTCGCCGGAGGTTTAATTGGTTGGATACTTTAGGTTTGGTATGTTTTTTTTTCTAAGACTTGATGATGTATGTTGTTAGGTATAAGGTAGTTAAAGCTGGAGCAGGGAGAAACCACACAGTTGTGGTTACTGAGGATGGAAGTTCTCTATCTTTTGGTTGGAACAAACATGGCCAATTGGGTTCAGGTTCAGTGAAAAATGGTGAGTTGAATGAAATAGAGTTTTAAATTAAGGTAAATGTTACTTTTATGCTGCATTGTTAACTAGTTATGAGAAATATGAACTGTGCCTTACAGCAGTGGATATGGCAATTGGGTGTCACTGCTTCTTCATATTTCATGTTTAAATTCCTTTTCTAACTCACAATCTTTCATGTACTTGATCTTTGTTTCTTTTCCTTGTTTTGTTATTTAGAGATTGAGTCGTCTCCTGTACGTTGTCTTGTATCTGAAGTGAAACATACTGCTTGTGGCGGTGATTTCACTGTGTGGTTATCTTCTATTGAAGGAGCTTCCATACTGTATGGTTTGTGGATATGTTTAGATTCTGTTTTCTTCATTCTTCTTGTTTGTAGATATCAATAGTTATTCGGCTTTTTGGTTTCTCAGTACTGCAGGTCTTCCACAGTATGGACAGCTTGGTCATGGAACGGATAATGAGGTACTATGCAGTGGTTTTACTACTTTTTATTCTATGCTGTTTAGTTTGAATTGAACAAATGAAGAATCTTGTGGTGTTTATCGTAAGAAGCATTGCAGTCCGATATGGGATTACCAAGTGTGAGATAGTGTTTTCTAAATTGTTTTTCAATGTGAAATCTTGTTTTTGTGATTTAAATACATATACAAACCTCAGTGTATGTTCTTAAGTATTGGTTGTGATTGTTGAAGATGCACTGATCTACTATCAGCTTACCTCGAAGTTTACTGATTTTCTAGTTTTTCATCCATTCCATGGTTATGAATGGGGAATACAGTAGCGTTTCAGTTGAAATGCATGTTTTCTCCAGCATTTTTGTGCAGTGTTGTAACGTAATTAGTGAAATGTTTTCAGTGGTCTTGCTGCAATTCATGTTCTTGAAATGTGACTGAATTTTGAACTTTCGTTTTGTAGTAATAATCTGAGAGATTTGATGTAATTTTACGCACGTGCATCCTTATTTGCGATGCTTGCCTAACACAATAGGCTTTGTTATACTCATCACGATGCGGTATGCCAAGACTTAATTTGGTATGAAGCTTTACATTTCTGGAAATGTGATTGCAGTACAACACAAAGGATAGCTCAGTCAGACTTGCTTATGAAGCCCAACCACGCCCCAGAGCTATTGCTTCTCTTGCTGGAGAAGAAATTGTTAAAGTTGCTTGTGGAACAAATCATACAGGTTTAGCAATATATCTTCCTTTATGGGATCAGCCACTTTTGAAGCCTGTTGGACATGCTTGTTGTTAATACTTCCATTTTCTGTTTGTTTTTTGCTTAATGAAATGCAGTGGCCGTGGATCGTAATGGCTTTGTTTACACGTGAGTATTGTCTTAGGCTACTTTCTGGATTTTAACTTTGTTTTGTCGCATCGTGGATTCTAATGGATTTGTCTTGTTTATGTTTACTTTCACTTTTAGGTGGGGCTTTGGTGGTTATGGAAGGTCAGTGATATGGACCGGCTTGGATTTGAGTTCCTGCAATTCCACAAATTGAATAAATTTTCTGGCTCATCTCCTCTTTATCTTGTTTTCGGTCTCCACCGCCACCCTCTTCTTCCAACCTCTTGCTTTTTGTTTATTGAACTTCTTGGATGCGTTAATTTGCAGACTTGGGCATAGAGAGCAGAAGGATGAATGGGCCCCTCGACGCGTTGATGTATTCCAGAGGAAAAACACGCTTCCTCCCGATGCTATTGTTTCAGCAGGGTCTGTTAACTCTTCTTGTACTGCAGGTATCACTTCATAACATGAGGGCTTCTGTTGCTCTATTTTCAACTGTTCTCCAGATTATTGAACAGTTTTTAATTAACTTTCACAACCCTCCACTCGTCTATATGTTACTTTTGAGTTCCTTTGTCCTTTTTCTTTTTATAGCAAGAACTCTGTTAGATATTGGTATTTTCTTTCCTTCTTACAGGTGGGGGGCAGCTATATATGTGGGGGAAAATAAAAAATGCAGGAGATGACTGGATGTATCCCAAACCTCTCATGGATTTAAGGTTTTTCTCCTTGCCATTTGTTACTTTATATAGTGTTTTTGTCTCCTTATTATTTGTAACGGCTCAAGCCCACCGCTAGCAGATATTGTCCTCTTTGGATTTCCCTCTCGGGCTTCCCCTCAAGGTTTTTAAAACGGTCTGCTAGGATAAAAAATGTTTCGTTCTCTTCCCCAACTGATGTGAGATCTCACAATCCACCCCCTTTTGGGACCCAGCGTCCTTGCTGGCACTCGTTTTCTTCTCTAATCGATGTGGGACCCCCCAATCGCTGACACTCGTTTGTATTTCTCCTGTTATGGCTTTTCTGTCTCTAATTATTTCATATATTTCTTCTTCAAGCTAGTTTGCTTTTTTTTTTTTTTTTTTTTTTTTTTTTAAAAAAT